GGACTCTCAACCACTGCGCCACCAGGGAAGCCCTTAACTATCTTTAATTAAGTAAACCCTCAAAAACTCATAGAAATCTTTAAGTAAGTTTTCAGGAATGCATACATCTCTTAGAAACACCTTTATACTTTGTAATAACTTCAGAACACATGCCTAATGCTTCATGTTGTGTTGTAGACGCTATGTTTACCATCAAACACATTAAACAAATGAATGTTTGGCTGTGAATCCAGGAGTAACTGGTTCCCTGCTACCCGTCAGTGTCTACATTTTAAGCCCACAGGTGTGGCTTCAGGAGAGCACTGGAGGTTTACTTTCCTTGGCTGGAGAAATCATGTGAAAATCACTCCCAGCAATTAGGGAAACAACTAAGTTTTAGAGATAGAGATTTGGTATGTTCGTGGGATGTGGCGGGGAAGGGGGCGTGGGGGACACACCTGGACACCAAAAAAGCCAATCCAAAGCCTCGTGCCCTAAAGACAAGGCATTACATTCACTTCAGCACCACTGCCTTAGGTGTTCCGAGGCCAAGATGCTATGCTATGCATTAGGGATCCAGAGAGGCCTTCAGGGAGCTCATAGTCACTTAAGGAACGTAGAGGGGAAGAAAAACACAAAAACTGTTATCACAATATGCTAAGTGGGATGGATGGTAGAAGTACAAGGTGCAAAGAAATAAAAATCCACGGGCTTTCCTGGTGGCGCAGTGGTTGAGAGTCCACCTGCCGATGCAGGGGACACGGGTTCATGCCCTGGTCCGGGAGGATCCCACATGCCTCGGAGCGGCTGGGCCCGTGGACCATGGCTGCTGGGCCTGCGCGTCCAGAGCCTGTGCTCTGCAACGGGAGGGACCGTGACGGTGAGAGGCCTGCATACCGCAAAAAGAAAAAGAAAGAAAGAAAGAAAAATCCGAAGGTGAGAGCAACTAGCTCGGTGCAGGGGCCTTCAGAGAGGTGAAGTGAGGCAGCGCCCTGGGGGTGCATGGGAGCTCTCCAGGAGGAGAGAGAAGAAAGGGTATAGTGGGCAGAGGTGTAGTGGAGGGTACACGGCATTGCCACAGGGCAGAGGGCCATCCAGCAGGTGACCGTGGGAGCATTCATCTATCCATCCTTGTACGTGTATGCATGCCACATGTCAGGCAGGGGCTGGTTCACAGCACCCCTGCTCTCAGAGAGCTGGTGCTGGGGAGTCACACATGTGTCTCACAAATATGTGTAAACAACCGAATACTCTGAAGGAAAGGAGTCCTATATTCTAGGAGATAATGTAACAAGAGAAACTGACCTAAGTCTGGGAGGTCAGGGAGGGCTTCCCTGAGGAAGTGGCCCTGGAGCTGATATCTGCTGGAAGTATAGCAGTGAACTTGGTGACAAAGGTAGTGGGAAAACACATTCCAGGCAGAGAGAACATCTAGTGCACAGGCCCTGGTGGAAGGAAGCCTGGCACACTCAAAGAGCTGGAAGGGAGGAAGAGCTCAGGGAGCAGGTGGCAGAGGGGGTGAGAGGGGACCCAAGACATGAGCAGGGCAGACCCACAGAACCCAGGCCGCGGTGAGGGGACATCTTTATGCTAAGAGCAGCGGGAAAAGCCACTGAAGAGTGGAAGCGGTCACATTTGCATTTTACAGAGAACACAGTGGCTTCGGTACGGAGGGCACAGGAAGGCCAGCCGGGAGCCCAGTTTGGAAGCCATTTCAGGATCCAGACAAGAGATGGAGGTGGCAATAAAAGGAAGTGTCCAGATAGACAAGGCATTTAAGAAGTAAACTCAACAGGGTTTGGGGATAGATTAGACATGCAAAGTGAGGAAGCGGAAGATTTTAAGATGAAAGAGAGTAAATGACAACAGGGTTATTATGCAGAAGAGAGCGAAAGTAAGTCATGAAGACATGCTGAGAAATTTGAACCTTATCCCCAAGGGAGGTGAGAGTCAGCGAGAGGAGGGGGTGGAGTTGAATGGGAGAACAGTATAAAACTCTGTACAAGGCTTTGGAATTAGAGCAATTAGATTCTCACTCTTGTTCTTACTTGCCATATCTAGGGCAAGTGACTTAATGTCTTTGAATCTTTCTCTGTTCTCTGGTGAAATGAGATAAGCATATTAGGTTGGATCATATGAAATTCTCATTTTGTGGGTCAAAAACTGTCGTAAGTCAGCAATTTCACAGGGTTCAATGCAATTTATCTGTCCTAGGGGTTACTGTGACCGTCACATAAGATGATTTTATAAGTGCCCCATGGTCCTCATCTTTATCGTTATCACCTTCATCACAATCACCAGGATGGGCTCCCGCTCACCTGGCCCAAAGCAAAGCAAACGTTACTTCCGCTCAGCTGGGATGCTCAGTGGTGCTTCTCCCTGACCCTTGGCTGACCCCTGAAAGCATCCCAGGCACACCTGAGAGGCATTCAGATTCTTCATGGAATTACACCTGGCCTGGAGGCTGTAGCCTGCGGGGAAAGTTTGAAGGGAGCCTGAGAAATCTGTGGGTGTCCGGGAGAGGGGTGGGTTGACTTGGATTCCAGTCCTTGATGTTCCACGAATGCCCGTGTGACACTAGGTCAGTCACTTTGTCTCTCTGGGCCTCACTTTTTTCATTTGTAAAACACTAAACCAGGAGCTGGCGAACTTTTTCTGTAAAGGGCCAGATAGTAAATATTTTAGGTTTTGCAGAGCATGTAGGCTCAATAGCAGCTACTC